TTTCTATCTGTACCTATATTGGAGTAAGTATCATTGAATACAATGTGCATTTTTAATAGTATGATATCAAGTCAATTCAGACATATGGCAACCCTTTCCAAGGTTTTTTAGGTAGAGAATACACAGAAGTCATTTACCATTTCCTTCTTCTGGGGGCATCGTGGGACTGTGCAGTTTGCCCGAGGCTACATAGGCTGGCTCTTCTCCTAAGAAACACAATGGGGAATCAAACTCCCAACCTCTGGCTCCAAGCCAGATACCTAAATCACTGAGTGATCTAGCCAGCTACAGTATTACTCCAGAGTAAATATACCTAGGCTATGTTGGAAATTTCCCATCTTGAATTTGTTTTTATGCTGTGCAGAATCCTAACTGGATGGACTGTGGCACTGAGTAAAAGGACTTCTTAGCTTTTCCTCCAGTGCTACTTTTCCCAAGAAGAAAATATGTTTTATCTAACAGGACAACTGGCAGGTTTCATCTGAAGGTATTTCTATCTGGAAAATGATACCATCCACCAGGATTATAGTTCCAATCAAGAGATGTTGAATGGGGTAGAGACATGAGGGTTGAATACCCCCAGGCAAGGCCAAAAGGCCTGAGACTATCCTTAATAATCAGGAAGAGACCAAGATTTATCTGTAGCTGATTCCTTTCAGGAATAATCAATCAAAAATATACTGAAAACTAGAGGGTACAAAAATATTAAGACTGCTATGACAGTTAAGCTCCCAATACAGCAGTAAGAAAAAGAAATCCTAAGTGAACTAAAGTGCAATGGATTCTATACACATTCATTTGGGAATAAGCCCAACTGAATAGAATTAGGGGCTTATCTGTTGTGTGTCACAAAATTCTAGGGTTATGTGTATAAGGACCTCATCTTTGGCTCCCACCCAAGTATGAAAGTAACATAATACTGAGGAGAGGGATCTTGATGAAAGCCAAAAATCACTTCCAGTCTTGTAGTTGACCTAGTAGACCACATTCAGTCTACAACACTTGCAACTGCAACACTTCTCACCTAAAACAGCACAGACCTGGTACATATTCTTCACACCAGTCTGAAGGGTATATGAGACTTGGGGGCTGTAGCTAACATAATCTCCTAAGGTTTGGACAAGTGTGCAGATTCTGCTCTCAAAGTAGTAGTGCTGAAGGTAAGGTCATGTTAAGGTGCTTTATAAGCATCTCTAAATTCACTTAAGAGAGTTTTATAATTGTTATACATTATTAACCCATTTTGTAATATTTCATTTATATTTTGTCATTGCTTTCATGATAAACACACTGTAATTGCTTTAGTTAGGTGACCATTAATGAAGCTCTGAAAACCATATTGTGGCAAACTGGGGGCATTCCCAAAGTGAGTAGAAGAGGCTGGGGCTACATGGAGTCTTTGGGCCATGAACTGCTTACTGTTGTGCTTATCATATGGAACTCAGTGGATAAAAAACGTTATTTTCACTTAAAATTCAATTAAATGCATAATTGTTTTTAATGACAAGAGTATGAACAGCTGTTGAATCTTCAATGCCCTTTAAGAGTTTATGTGGCTTTAGTAGCCACATCTTACCCCACAATCACAACAGAAACAAATGCACAGTTGTAGGTACCTGGTGTTGTCACAGTGGCTGTATAGTTCAGTGGTTTATGTATCTGGCTACAGAGCCAGAGGATGGGGGTTCAATTCCCCACTGTGCCTCCTGTGAACCAGCTTGTATGGCCTTGGGCAAGCTGCACAGTCCTAGGGCACCACCAGAAGAAGGGAGGGGTAAAACTACTTCTGAGTTCTCTCTGTCTAGAAAACCCTGAAAAGGTTCACTGTAAGTCAGAAACAATAATTATGATGATGATGACAACGATGACAACGATGACGATGACGATGACGATGACGATGATGATGATGATGATGATGATGATGATTATTATTATTATTATTATTATTATTGGGGAGCTATAATGCTACTTGTGTATCATGTGGTTGAGGTTTTGCAACATCACAAAGTTTGGACAAGCTGGTAGTTGGGAGGGGATTCAGGGTATGGTGGCATTAGCAGCAGAGAACAAGCTAGTGTGGGTGACTTGAGAATAGTAGGGCTTGATTAGAACAATTAGTGAAAAAAAATGGACATTATGTAGACTGTTGCTGATGCACCACTTCAGTTATTTTTTAAAAAAATATTTGGAAGGGCTGATCTAAAAACTGCCTGAAGCCACTACCTTGGATTTGACTTTGGGTGGATTCTCAACTGGCCTTTTAAGACGATTCAAAGAATTTTTTAATTTTTTTAAATAAGTGATGCAGCACTTCAGCAATAATGTACATACAGTCAAAAAAATTTTCCCCCACTTCTCCTGCCCTCTGCCAAAGTGATTCATTTGCTAATACCCTAAAGTGGCTTGCTTATTAAGCCACTTCATGACACTGGCAAATTGAAAGAGGAAGACTTGCTTTGGATCATTCCGTTCCAATGATCACATGTGCTGGAACTGATCCAAACCAGAGTAATT